GATGGTTGATTTATTTCATGTTGATGGAACTACATGGTTTACAAGTGTTTTGACATTAATGTTTCAGCTAATTTATATTGATTAAACTAGAATCAAACCAAAATAAGATTTGATAAATTCCAACTTGTGTATAGTTTTTTGTTCAGAATAATTTATTTATAAATTCTGCAGGTCATTACTATAAATCATCTGTAAGACGGATTGTATTCTTTGACAAGTATAAATTGTTTATAAAATTTGTAAACTGAACATATTAGTTAATGGACATTGTAACACCCCATTTAGGGGTTAAATTGTAAGATGTTGTAATAGGAGGGCTATGGTGCAACTTGACAAAAATTTAGGGACCCAACCTCAAATTTTGCTATTTTTTTTAATAGCAAAATAAATTGCGCCTCGCCAACCAGACCAAAACCCACCCGTCCGGCCATCGAAACCCCGTGTCATCTGTCGTGAAAGAAGGTTCGAACGCTCGACGGTAAACCTTTCGGTTTTTCAAGTTTTTCGGCCGCCACAATTGTTCTCTTGCCTCACCGCCGCCATGGTTGGACTCCCCACCTTCGTCTGCTCAAAACTCGACCGGTGGGTCACGTCAATGCCGTCGAATTCCCTTCGTCGTCGACGAGTGTAAATTATTTTTATTTTCGATTATTTTGGATGGGTTGGTTGATTTTTTGGAATTAAATTGGTGTTTTTGGATGTTTGGAAGCAGCTGGAGAAATCAGCCGGCCGGAATGGCCCTTGTCGTCGTCGCACGTGCCCCCACGTGCCACGTGGTTCACGTAAGGTTTGTTTTGGGTACAAGGAAAATTCCAAAATCGGATCGGTCGAGTCAACATGTTGACTTTGACCATTGACTTTGATTAAAAAGTCAATTTGTTCGAAAGGGTCTCATTTTATGTTTTTCGACGTTCTGAGTCCGAATCTGAAGTCTGTTTTTTCAAATTAGCACCCGATAAGCTGTTTTTCGATGTTTTACCTTCAGAATTCAATGTAGTTTTTCAATTGAGTTCAGTTTCTGGCATAAATTCAATTGCTTTGTATTCGAACAATTTTTGGACATTGAATTCAAGTTTGAGGGCGATCAATTGGAGTTTAAATGGTCGATTAGTATGACACAAAAACCAAGGTAATACATTATTACCTGTTTCATGCTTTATGGAACATATTGGCATTGGTTTCTACGTGGATGAGTATAATTGGTCCCATGTCGGTAACGATCACTTCCTAAACTCGATCCTAATATTATAAAAAGTCGGCAACCGAATATGACTCACTTAAGAAAGTGGGAAATCAATCAGATATAATAATAATAAGCTCGATGATTCAATAATGAATAAATTCACTTCAAGATCCGTAAATTTTGATTAATTTCTTTCAAGGTTAAATACCAAAAATAGTTGGATAATATGTTACCTAAAATAGCCCCAAGGGGTAAAATTACAAAAATGCCCTTGTACTGAAATACTTTCAAGCCTAAATTACCCGAAATAATTTCACTAACATAATTGGATGAAATTACAATAATACCCTTATAGAGTAAAAAGCAATATGGATGACTATGATAATGGGGATGATCTAAGAGCTCATATTTGGATTCACTTGAACCTTAGAATCATCGATTTAAATTCCGGATCTATATTGGATTTATAGAAATGCCCTAAAGTGTAAAAGGGCCTAAAGTATTTCCAAGACCTGGAATGACTAATGCCCTTAAGCTTCGAAATGAATAAATCAACCTCAAATACCAATATGACTATTATTTGACCAAGTTAAACGGAATAGAAATATTATATGTATTTGAATTTGCAGAAACGAATGAATTACTCAGGAAACTTCTAAGCGACCAGGATAGCTCTATATACTAATTGAATTAAGTACCCCGATGACCTTGAATTAAGTGAATAACTTGGATAAGTATGGAAACACCGCCGATCTTATATGATGTATTATCCCTAAGGGTTAGTAACCACGAATTAAGTACGTTAACAATTTATGATATTGCTGTAATGTAGAAATGAAGTAAAGACGATAGGAATATATGTTTGTCTCCTTAAGATCTATTCAACGATGATTCTGAAGGTGAGAAATGGACAAGAATTTTTTGTATTAAAGAGTGAATACCCTGGAGGGCAACGAATGAACCGGTCAACATGCATTAGTTCTGGGAGTTGTTCAGCTTGAGTTATTTTAGTAATTTGATAGATCGACACAGATTGTAAATGTCTTAAACCTTCATTCTCCCTTATCAGTTCAAATCACTCTGGTTATATCTGATCACACAAGTAACTCAGATGCATAGGATTTTGAATACCTCATTTGGTTCAATTAGACTAAAATCATGTTAATTCAATGTATAATAATCCTGAATACCCCAGATTCTTTGAGTAATAAAATCACTCTCCGTAAATCTGAATCTATAATTTATTCAGTATAAAGGTTCTTGAACACGTTCTGGATGCATCTGAATAATAGTGGGATTCTAATGTATCAACTTTAAATGTCTGATTAGTTCCATTAATAATCAATTCCTTTTAATAGGACTTCGTTCCTGGAATCTGTTCCTGGAATCCAATCAAGTATATAAGTTTCACATTTTCCGAATAACTATTATGTGCTTCTGAAAAATATTTAAATCATCTAGTGTGTTCCACATGTACTACATGACAGTTTTATATGTTTTGAAATGAGTTTCAATGAAATTATTGATGTATTGGTTTATGAACCATGTCAACATGATATATAAAATCATGGAAATTACTGGTTTATGAACTATGTTTTTCTGTTTTCACTGGTTATACTCGAACTGTTTTATTGAGATATTATCTGGGTAGACTAGAGTATGGAGGTACAACTCTAATCAAGCTGGTAAATCCTTACGGACTTAAGGTGATCATTGGGTAGGCTCTCAGGCCCCAAGGCATTCCCTTGTATTAATCATGGGACTACTTATGGTGTACATGTGGAGATCAGTTATACAATTTATTTCATTATCACGGTTATGACATATTATTGGATCATGATCCAGATATTACGATTTACGACTAAAACTGATTTTTACTAGATTTCTATATAGGTAGGATTCTGGAGTATGGAGGTACAACCCTGATTCATCTGGTAAATCCTTACGATTTAGGTTGGCTGATGTGTGCTTAGGATAAGCCCTTATGGATGTAGTTCTAGAAAACTACATAATGAAGTTTGGTTGGAAGGTTCCACTATGGTTTTAAAAGATTTATATCTTTTCACTGTTTTGATTGAAACACACTAGATATCCTATTTGATCTTTTGAAACTGGATACTATGAATGTTTCCTATGAACTGAGATCTTCATAACCTCTACTCGATGAACTACCAGTGGAACCTCAGTTTATCCCGAAAACATGTATATGTCTGTTTAAACAAGAAACTTTATGGCTTTTCATTTATCTGCATTTCTTGTAGTATCAATAGGTTGTTCTATATTACTGAGCTTTCCAAAGCTCAATCTGTTACTCACCAGTTCAGGTTAAAAGAAACCAATCAGTGCAGCTTTCGACTTCAGTAGGGAGTTCTTCCGACGTTGTTTACAGAGTACGGTGCATGTGACTAGAGGGCATGTAGCTTGTGTTTAGTTTTTATATCTGAGTTAAATATTTATTTTATTTGTGAATATTGATAAATTTTTCTTTTGTATTAATAAATTGTTTTATGATTTTAATCATTTTATTAAAAATTTAATATTTTCGATATTTTTACAGTGGGTCGCTCCGATGGCCCTAATGTGACACTCGGATCGAATTATGTCACCCATATCGATCTGAGGGGTTACAGACATACTTTCCAAGGTTAACATGACAGTTAATTCATTAAACCATTGTCAGTAGATGCCTAGATTATTTTTTAGATTAAAAAGGGATTAATTTATAAGATAAAAAGTACTCAAATCCAAGTAAAACAACATATTTTAGCAAGAAAAATAATGCATAAATGATAGTTGAAATGTAACACAAACTAAATAAGTATTAAAACTAAAAACAAATCCATAAACCCTACATAAGTTAAAACAGAGGGCCAACCAGAGCATCCATTCAACAAGCTAATTCTTTCTAGACAAACTTTAGATAAGATAGGTTTAAGCAACAGCCTTGGCAGAAAGCCTCTTCCTTGCTTCCTCGATGATCGACAGCTTGATACCCTTGCCCTTAGGAAGGGAAACCCATGGCTTTGTTCCTTTACCAATTGTGAACACATTTCCCATACGAGTTGCAAACTCATGCCCAACAGCATCTTACACATGGATTGTCTCGAAGCCGCCCTTATGTTTCTCTTTGTTCTTAATCACTCCAACACGTCCCCTGATCCTTCCTCGAGTGACCATGACAACATTCCCGACATCAAACTTAATGAAATCAACAATTTTGTTGCTCTCCAAGTCAAGCATGATGGTATCATTAGCCTTGATCAAAGGGTATGGGTACCGAATGGTGTGTCCATCGTAGGTATTGAGATATGGAATACCCTTTTAGTGTAGGGTCTTGAAGACAATCAATGGGATAAAATACGTAGATAGAGCATAGTAACAAGAAACATAACATACTAGGGTCCCATTCATGCAAACCTTGGTCTCATCACCGGTGATGGCATGAAGGGATGGTTAAGACCCATAAATTTCAGTGAGATTGAAATACAAGCTATAGGTAGTAACCACAATTCAAAACCTAGGATAAAATAATGATCCACGGAAAATATTGCAAAACAATTTTAGCTACAAAATTCGAACTGGACTAGACTGTGAATGTTGAGCATGGGTATGCTTCTAACATGAGTATCTTCAATATTTCCAAGTTTTTTACATGTACTTAAAAGGATCATATTCCCATGCACACATCCAAATATGCTTCAGATGTCTAACACAAGTACTTCAAGAAAAATGTAGTTAGAGTAACACTGCTTTTAGTGTAGGGTTTTGACAACGTGCAGAAATCCGACGCTAAAATTATACAAGTAATTTAATTGAGAAACAATGTTAAGTTCAACATACCCATAAAACCTGTAGGGTAGGTCTTATCTGTCCTAACCTTCCCATCAACCATAACATGCCTTTGCATAAGAATAGCAATCACTTCTCTGTATGTCAAAGCATACTTCAATCTGTTTCGCAGGATTAGAATGAGCGGCAAGCATTCCCTCGACTTGTGGGTCCAGATTATGGCTTTGGAGCCTGGATGGTCAAAATTTAATAACATAGAATCAGAAAATGATGACATCAAGGAAAAATACAATAAAAAGTAAAAGATAACATACAAATACAACGCCAAGCTTGTCGAGCATCCAATGCCTAGGGGCATTCAGCCTTTTCAAGTGTTTCTTCAGCCCTCTAGCCTGTATGAAGAAAAGTTTAAGCAAAGACAAATGTTTAGAGTCTAAAAAGCACAAGAATTTTCACATTAAAAATAATATATTGACCCAAATTTAACACGAAGGATAGTTCACACATTCAAAATAACGAAATTACTGATATTATCATGGTAAGGCAAATATATAAGAGCCACTAAAAATTCACAACTACCATAACACAACCAAATCAAACATTTGATCTAACATTCCATTTCAGCAATTATATTTCCCTTTTTTCGATCATATGAAAAACAATATTTAAAAGTATACAAGCAAAGTAATCTTAAAACAATTTTGTGAATAACCCAAAAATAATCAGCAGCCAAAATCAATGTTACAAAACAATGGAAAGATATTTATTCGATTTATTAACTGAGAATTGCAATAAAAACATGCAAATGTTTACAGTGACGCAACAAACGAATCTTAAAAGAAAACTGAATGCAAACGAGAAGTATGAGAATTGAAATAATAAGTAAACAGTCAGATCAAATCCAAGGGAGTGAGGTGAAGTTCAAAAGAGAGGAAGAAGCTAACCATTTTTTTCTCTTTGCAGTAAGCGGCTGTTTCCGCTGAAAGCTTTGGTTCGTATGAAAATGTGAACGGTAGGGAGATAAAACCCTAGCTTTTTTTTATCATTATATATTGGCTATATGGTTTTAAACCCGACTTGAATTTTACGGGTCGGACCAAGGCCCAACTCCCTTTTGGATAAAGGATCGAACTTGAACCTAATAATATCAACCGAAACTTTGTTTTAATCGAATTTTGTCATTGCATCATAAGTTTTATTTTTTTATAAAATACATAAATGTTTGAAGCTACGAGGGCGACAAAAGAGCAATTAACGGGTCGATTCATGTGATAAATAGTTTGATGCTATTTAAGTAGATCTGGAATTCGAGTCTTTATGTATATGAATAATTGTTACTGAAAGAGTAAACCATCAAAATTAGGTGTACGACTTGGATCAATCCGAATTAATCAAAGTGAAACATTAGGAACTAAGAGGACAATCAAACAAGAAAGAGTAACAAACAAGCGAGTACAGACAAGTTCTAATTAGGTTGTCTTCGAAATTAAATTTTCTTAAGCTCAAGTTTATTCGGATCAAATCACTAAAGAATTTATTAAGTGGTTTCAATAATTAAAAAAATACAATTGTCCTTAAAAGTTGTGAATTCAAACAATTATGTCTATGAGTATTGTCAATAACTAAGAAAATTTTAAATAAATATTATATTATAATTATCATAGACAAATAAAAAAAAGTAACTACTCAATAAATGCATGAAAAGTATACTTACCCATCTTTTTCTACTATTCTTTCACCTTTTAATATTATCTTTTTTAATTTATAGATAAAATTATAAAAAAATGAAAGAAAAAGAGAGGATAATTATTTTGGACACCAATGTAAATTTTAGGTATAAAAAATTAATCCTAAACACTTTGATTTTTTTATCTATGTCCTTTCATTCTTTTTTTTCAAAATTGAAAATATAATAACTCAAAAGTTTGAGCCTATGTTCCTATGTTAACCCGAGTCAAAGATTAACCAATTAGTCAGAGCAATTGAGTTATTAAGTAAAGGACGCACAAGCCTTAATTTCCTTTGTTTTTTTTTAAAGGAGCTTGTAAAGCTTATAACATTATTCTAAATATCTTACGTATGCGATATTTAAATCTGAGACCTCAAAGGATAACAATAATTATTTTATCACTAAAATTATTTTGTACAAGTGTTAGTGTGGAAGCTAGAGAGTTGTTGAAAATTCATATAGTACACGTTTAGCTTTAAAATGCATAATACAATTTCGTAATCATGACTAATGTTACATTTCAGTAATTTTTTAATGGTAGGTGACCAAAAGGAAACGAAATATAACGTTAAGTATAATTTTGAAAAAAATATTAGATGATCAAAATAGAAACAAAATAATAGATGAGTGACTACATAAATAATTTACCCTTATTTTTATTCCACTAATGATCATATGCAAGACCTTTAGTTTTTCGTTTTCTTTTTCCTTCTTTCTCCCTTATCCAAATTGTCCCCCAATAATTTTGATTAAACCCCCACTTGCACCACCCTTCCCCAAGTCACCATTATTAAATCCTCCCATCAACTATACAACAACACATGCATCCCCAATAGAGCTGGGTATATGGGCTAAGGCTCGCGGGCTACCCGTATAACTCGCGGCCCGTATGGGCTTCGGGCCTTAAAAAATAAAGCTCGTTTAAATTGCGGGCTTATTAGCCCGAGCCGTTAAACCCATGGGTTTAATGGGTATTCCCGCGGACTCCACGGGTAGCCCACTTAATTTAATTAATTTTTTCCAATTTATTTTATATTTTACGGAAGACAATTCACGATTAGCCAAATTATATTTTTATGTGCATTTTAGCTATACCCAATTCATGTTTTTATGTGCACTGAAGTCTGAAGCTCAATTCATGTTTTAATTTGATGATATCCAATTTTGAAGTTCGAACGTATTAATTATACATATGGTAACGTAATATGATAACATAAGCAAAAAGGTTTCCATCTTTTTATATACGTATTTACCATTTATAATGAATACCATCAATATATATAAATAAGCCATAAAACGTTTATTATACTCCAATAATTAATCATAAGAAAAACTATATACATATACATTAAAAAAACAGAAAACAAAACAAATCAAAGTATTAAACCATGTATAAATATATTAATAAAATTAAAAAGGTAAAGTAACATAATATGCAAATATGAAAATAATATATAAAACTTGAGGCAGTGATAAAAAACATAAATAAAATTTGAGTGCAAAATTAAAATAATAAACTATATTTGAGGATTATATTGCATTAATTCAAAAGTGGGCGGAGCCCTTACACAATTAGCACATTAAAACTTGTCATGGTTGCCCAAAATCCCTAAAATATGTTGTTTTGTGTGACTTATATTATATATACGCCGTTATAAAATTTTAGAAACCATAGCCTCATTTTTTTGTTTCCCTTCTCTGTCGTTTCTCTCTATCTCCCCAATTTCTCTCTTTTTTCACATAAATAGTAAACAGTAAACGAGTAAGCCTGTTAGCACACGGGTTAAATGGTACGGGCCGCGGGCCTTAGAATTCAAGATCGTTTATGATTGCGGGCTTTTTAAACCGCTCCGTTTAAGCCCGCACCGTCAAAACCCGCAGGCTAAACGGGTGGGTAGTCCGTATACCCAGCTCTAATCCCCAATTTCATGGCAACACTATCATTATTATTATTAGGGTAAATTACACATTTAATACCTAAATTATCAATTTTGGTTCTTTCAAAACTATACCTAATTTTTTTTGTTTCATTTCAATACCTAAACTTTGAATTTCATAAATGATATTAAAATATTCCCTTACTCGGAATTATTTCATGGAAAGTAAAAATATTTGTATAATAAGCTTCAAGTATGAAATTAAAAAAATCATTTGAAAAATCATTGATTTGTCTTACTTTTTTTTCCTTTGCCTATTAATCTACTTTCAACTTTCAATTATATATTATAAAGCTTCCATCATATTAATCTACTAATTTATGGTAAAAATAATTTGAAAATCATTATAGTATTAAAAAAATTAATCTGGTCAAACAAATGATGTTCTTAAATTATTTTAAAAAAAACCCTAAAAGAATTAGTCTTGGCACTCATATCTTTGGCAATTCTTTAAAGATAACTCTGTTTAAAGGTAACTTTAAACTATTTGACATTAAAACTTATATTACTGATATTTTTAGTGTTCAAACCTGAAATTTTGAAAATATCAACAATTCTTTTACCACCAAAGTTATTTGGTTCTTGCTTTGAATGTGTTGAGTTAATCGATCGGATGAAATAGCCAAGAGGGGGTGAATTGACAATTAAAATTTTGGTGGAAGCTTTGACAGAAAATAGAAATAATTTGCACATCGATTTAGAGTGGTTCGACTTTCTCAACCAAAGTCTATGTCCACTACCTTAGCTATCCACACTAAGGATTTCCACAAATTCACTAATTTGTCTTTCTTTTGAGGACAAAGTGTAACCTTACAACTCCCTCAAGAATTATACCCCAAATTCTTGAGACACTCTCTCTCAAAGAGAAAATTACAAATTTCACAAACTTAGAAGAAAACCTCACAAGGTAAAATTGTTTGCACAATTCAGAACAAAGAAGAATGCTCAATAAATATATACAATTGAGTACAAACAGTGTTCTTGAAAGCAAAATGAATATTGAATAGATGCTGGCTTGATTTGCTCAAACAATAAGTTTAAGGCTTTCTCTCTTTCAATTCTTTCTCAATTCTTGATCACAAATGGCTTCAAAACTTGTTTAAATACCCCTTGAATGAATTATGAATATTAGGGATGATCATGGATTCAATAGAGCCATTGTTGTATGTTTTCCACTTCAAAAAGCTACTGGGAGCGTATGAGTATCGGTACTCCACTAAGGGGTATCGAGACTACCTGTTATAAATTCAAATATTTCGACCGTTACAACTCAATGGTATAGATACCCTTCAAGGAGTATCGATATTACTATGTGTAGTAGTATTGTAATACCCCTAACCGATATTCGACCCGAATACGAGTCCAAGATGTCACATCAACTTTTCAAATCATTTTCTTATATATAATAAATAGAATTTAAGAAATTGCAAGCATACTAAATAATTTATGTATCAATTTAAAAAATTTACAAAACCATTCAGAGCTTATACAAATTCAATCCTTGAAATACATGCCAACAATATATAATACAAAAGGGAAACCTATTGTACATTTTATGATTTGATCTTCGTTTATGTTATGCCGTCTCCACTACCTATCTTCTCTTAGTACTTATTGGATCCTACGTGTGAAACTCTCAAACGCTAAGTCATAGACTTAGTGAGACATGCCAATAAATTATGGAACTATAACTTCTTATCAAATGCATGTACTTATCAGGCAATACAATGCTTACATATATACATAAATCATCATTAACATGTTAAACATTAATTATATTATTGTCATGAATTCCTTTTATCATGTAAACATATACTTATCCTTTCTATACACATCATATCACAAATAACTCATTTCACAATAAAACACACATAATATCAAAACAAGTGCATTTATATCATCACTTTAAAGCCCATGTATACATCTCAGAATATAAGGTATGTGGTACAATGAGGTTGTGCACAATGCTGTCACCATAGCTCGTATAATTCCCACTAGGGGCACTGTAAATTTGTCCCGAAGGACCACTATGTCCCGAAAGACACTCCTTAAGAACCATATACATAATACAATGGACCAAATAAGTGTACCGAAGTACTACATATATGTCTCAAAGGACCAAGTAAAACCATCGACTCTTGGCATGCCAACTATACCCATAGCTTTCATAACACATAACATGGGCATTTTTAATTATGTCATTTCACATTTTCATATAAACACATGGTTCACTTACACATAGCATATTTGCATATAATTCACTTTCACATAATTTATCACATACACTTATACACTTTTTCATATCAATTCTCATGTAACCACATATGTCCTCTCTCATATCATTAT